AAAAAAAAAAAAAATTACAGCCTCAGAAACCCTATACAGGGTCGCTGCGAGTCGGAACAGACTCCATGGTACACTATCACCACCACCACTAGTGATTATATACATAAAAGTCTTTTACTGATTTAAATCTTGAAATGATCTGTTTCCTCAGATCTATCCCATATCAATGCATTAAACATGCTATTAAATATATTTGACCTTTAATGGCCAGAAGTATATATTAAGGTCAGTGAAAGACCATAGAGCAGTTATGAAAATAAGAATAATAAAATGAGAGAGGCAGTATATGTTGTTTTTAATTATTAAAGAATTCTGGTATAATTTAGTTTGTATATTCAATGTTTTAAGATACTGAGGTTGTTTTAGTAAATATTCATCTAATATATCTGTCCAAATCATTTTCACTTGAGAAATATGCAATAATATTTTGAATATCTTTCATAATTGCTGTGAGCAAAAACTCCATATTTTATTATTTATAAAAGATTTATTACTTACTAAATTCACACCCACTTGAGCTTATCAATATAATAAATCTCTACCTTTCTAAATATCAATAATTTTGTCCTCATGTCTCTGAATATACTTGTGCAGCTGTAAAATCTCTTTAAACAGGAATCAAAGAGTAGTAACACTTTTGTTCTAGTAAGCCAGTGCCCTAATTATAGGGTAAATAGTGCATATTCTAAGTCACAGTTTAGCTAGTCACTTAAGTGAAGCTCTAATTATTACAATGCTACACTATTGCCATGACAACACAGATCCTTTTCTTCTTGTCTCCTCCCCACCCTCAACCCCCTCTTTTTTTTTTCTTTTGGAATGGTAGCAATAAGTTGCTATTTAGACACATGCAAATATACAACCAAAGTACAGGACCTTTCGTTATTATTGATCCTATTCTTGCCCTTCAAACCTAGGAGGGCACTATGTACATACTTTTACAAATGGAGAAGAAAAACTTAACCTACCCCACCTGCAACATTTGAAGATAACTAGACATAGTCAAGACCACTTGTATGTCAGTTTGTTGCACTGTGGTGGCTTGTGTATTGCAGTGATGCTGGAAACTATACTACCGGTATTTTGAATGCTGGCAGGGTCACCAATGGTGGACAGATTTCAGCTGAGCTTCCAGACTAATACAGACTCCGAGAAGGAGAGGTGGACTACTTCTGAATGTTTAGTCACTGAAAACATTATGAACAACAGTAAAATACTGTCAGATATCACTATAATATGGTATATTGAAGCATAATGAATAGAACGAAAATATTGTCCGACATAGTGCATGAGCCCCTAAGTTTGGAAGGTACTCATAATACAACTGGGGAAGAGTTGCCTCCTCAGAGTAGTTGACTGTGATTATGCAAATAGAGTAAAGCCATTGGGATCTTCATTTGCTGAGGGGCACACCTCAAGGTGAAGAGAAATACTGCAAATATCTATTAGTAATTGTAACATGCGATGTATGAAGCATGAATCTAGGAAAATTGGAAGTTGTCAAAAATGAAATGGAATGCCTAAGTATTAATATCCTAAGTATTAGTGAGCTGAAATAGATTGTGCTAGCTATTTTGAATCTGACAATAGTTTAGTATGCTGAGAATGACAAATTGAAGAGAAAGGCATTGCATTCATCAACAAATAGAACATTTCAAGATCTGTTTTGAAGAATAATGCTGTCTGTGATAGAATAATATCCATGTACTTGCAAGGAATTAATTAGTATCACTATTATTCAAATTTGGAGTCCTGGTGTGGCACTGGGGGCTAATGAGTCAGACTGCAAAGTTGTTTGAACTGCAAAGTCAGTGGTTCAAGCTCACCAACTGCTCCTTGGAAACCCTATACAGGGTCGCTATGGGTTGGAATCGACTCGAAGGCACTTAATAACAACAACAAAATTATTCAAATTTATACACCAGCACTAAAGCCAGTAATGATGAGACGAAAAATTCTACCAAATTCTCCACTTTGAAATTGATCTAACATGCACTCAAGATGTATTGATAACTGCTAGTGAGTGGAATGCAAAGATTGGAAGCAAAGAAAAATGATCAGTAGTTGGAAAATAACCTTGATGATTAATATGATGTTGGAGATCACTTGATAGAATTTTGTATGACCAGTGACTTCTTCTTTGCTAATACCTTTTTTTAAAAAGCATAAATGACAATTATACACATGGACCTCACCAGATGGAATGCACAGAAATCAAACTGACTACATCTGTGGAAATAGAAGGTGGAAATGCTCTCTATCATCAGCCAAAACAAGGCCAGGGGAAAATGTGAAACAGATCATCATTGGTCATAAGCAAGTTAAGGCTGAAGCCGAAGAAAATTAAGAGAAGTCCAAGACAGCCAGGACATGACCTTGAATATATCCCACCTGCATTTAAAGATCGTATCAATAACAGATTTGAGGCATCTGATGCTAATGACTGAAAATGAGAAGAGCTGTGGGATGACATCAAAAACATCTTATAGAAGAAAGCAAAAGGTCATTAAGAAGACATAGAAGAAAGAAAAGACTAAAATGGGTATCAGAAGAGACTCTGAAACTTGCTTTCCATTCTAGAGATGCTAAAGCAAATGGAAGAAATGAGGAGCTCAACCAACAGTAAGCTTTAAAGGGCAGCTCAATAAGCCAAAATAAAATATTATAATAAAATGTACAATGATCTGGAGTTAGAAAAACAAAAGGAAAGAACATATTCAGCATTTCTCAAGCTAAAAGAATTCAGGGGAAAAAAATCAAGCCTCAACCTGAAATACTGAAGCGTTCTTAGAGTAAAATATTGAGTGATGTAGCATTAAAAGAAAATGGAAGGAATACACAGAGTTACTGTACCAAAAAGAAATGGTCTACGTTCAACCATTTCAACAGGTAGCATGTGATCAAGAGGCAATAGTAGTGAAGATAGAAGTCCAATGTGCACTGAAGGCATTGCCAAGGCTCAGTGAATTGATTGATACAGGTGAAATTTTTCAACAAAATGGTGCACACTCGAGGCACTCACTCATGTATGTCATGACATTTGGAGGACAGCTACCTGGACAATTCATTGGAAGAGATACATATTTGTGTCCCTTCCAAAGAGAGGTGACCCAACGGAATGTGGAAATCATAGGACAATATCATTAACATCACATGCAAGTAAATGTTTGCTAAAGAAA